TCACTGAAGCTGATTGGGCCATTACGGCCCTTCGTTCTTTTTGGTACACCATAAAGCTTTGAATGGAAGAGGGTCGGGTGAGACTCTTTCCCACAGCCTCATCCTTGTGTCATCATGACAGGAAATCCCAGGCAAATCCTACCACACAGAAGACATACAAATCAAACCCTAACCCTAAGCCTAAACCTAAACCATGCCAATGTCCTTCCTCTAGGTCACCTGACATGAAAGGTAATTGTGTGACCTGTCACTTTCACAAGTGGCTTCTGAAACAGCATTTTCTAATCCAGTGGCTGCAAACAGGACCAAGCCAGTTGACCTCATGGCTGTCACTGAGAGTGCAGCACTTGCTAATCTTACCTTTAATCATGTACACGAGGAATGTGTTCCAAAATGCCAAATAATGACCACCAAATGCACATGGAGAGCTCACTGCCAACAGTAAAGCCTCAGTGTGGCTAAGGATATCTGAACCTCCTTGAGTGGCAGCCTCTGGGGGTGGCCTTTCTGAGGTCATTTCCATGTGATAGATAAGAAATTGGAGTATGAGAGTTGAAGAGGTTGCTGGAGATCTCCTGATTAGTGAAAGTAGAATGAGGGTTCAAGCACCGGAAATTTGGCATTCAAGTCTGTTTCTTGTCCTTCTGTGATGTCTCTTTCTCTAAACCACTGATGTCCCTCTAGATGGTGGCCAGTGTCTTCTGGCTGATCATTATTAGAGTGCCACCAGCCCACCCATCCCACTGGGGTTGGCTTGTTACCAGAGGGTAACCGAGTTCCTGCCCAGCCCTGCTCCCAGTGCCTTTTCTTCCTCATGCTCTCTGACTCAGATCAAACTTGTCAGGTAAATGATTGGTTAATGGTTTCTATCTGCTTACTCTGCGAAAAATCTAGCTTTTTGCAGGAAGTACACGGGCCAACACAGGAAATCTCTGACCACACCTGTTTGTGAGCTGGTCAGTGTTTGGCTGTATCCTTAATGTTCTCAAATACTTAAAAACCATTAAACAATTACTTGCCAATCCTAGACGGAAGTTAAAAACTAAGAGGCATCACAAAGATGAATTCTCTAGTGACAGAATTAGGAAAGATGGAATCCATTCTATTTCTTTGCTTCATTTTCACCTAAAGACTGGGGATGTAGCCCAGTGGAAGAGGCTTGCTTGTACCAACAGAGTCCTAGGCTCCATCTCTAGCATGGGTGGTGGTAGTAGTGGTGGCAGTGACTGGGGACAAAAGTCACTGAAGGGACTTGCTGAAGGGAGGGTTCTTAACATTGGGCCAGAGAGGAAGGTAACTCATGCCCACCAGGCTTTCTCTGGGCTTTCCAAATGCCTATCTTGCAGTAAAACATGACCTGGTCTGGTAGAAAAGACTGAGAGGACCCAACAGCTTCACCTCAAAAGCAAATGCAGTGTTTAGAATGGTATGGAAGCTCAGAACCATTGTTTCACATTCAAAACAATATCATCTATTCACAGGGAGTGAGGTGAAGAATTCCCTGTGTTCTTCTGACACTCACAGAGGGAGGGTGGTGGGGATGGGGGAGAACTAGCTGTGCATTGTCTCATTTAATTCTTCCATCAGTCTTCAGATTGGGCCTTTTGAAGATGAGAGCCTGAGTTGAGAGAGAAAAAAATGATTTGCTAAGATTATCCAGGAGTGAGTGGAGGTCATAGATCCCAACACTGGCCTCCCAGGGTCCATACCTCCCTTCTTACTCAATCTGAAGGTGACTGAACCATAACACTTTCTTCTCACCCTTCTTCCACTGCCAGGAAACTCACCTTGCCAGTGATTGGCCTAAATTGTAGTGTAGTTAGAGCATAGCAAGCATGCGGCCAGGGGATGGAGGTATCAGTTTGCCCCTGTCAACATGGTGTTCTAAGTTACGTTCTGCTGATGGCCTGTGTCTACTCATGCTGGTATTGGCCTCTGTCTTTGGCTGTACTTCCTTTGAGATAGTCAAGTCCATTTCTAACTGAGGAATCAGTACACTAGTCACAGGAAAAGGTGATGGTCTTTACTGTGTCCAAGATGGTGCCTTCAAGGCAGTTCAGAGAGTCTTGCCTGGTAACAGTGGGCAGGAGCCACCAAATGATACAATCTGGGTCCCCAACAAAGACAACTTGTTCAACTGATGTTTTTTGTTTTTATCCCCCTCTTCTTCTGGGAGGCCAATCCTTAGTTCTCACACAAAGTACATGAGCTCTTTCTCTCTTTGGGAGGGAGGCAGAAAACTCTCTGTCCCGGTGGATTCAGCCGAGGTGGCTTTCTGCCATCTTCATGCTCTTCCTTATCTAAGTTTTTCTAGTGCATGCAGTAGTTATGAGAAATGGACTGGTTTCTCCGCATCTTGGAAATACCCAAGGGTGACCCAGCAGTGGTTTGGCTTGTGTCCCCTGCCTGACCTAGAGCTGATGTCGCGTGACCTCTGTGTTTTCACACTGGGCTAACATTTGCTTCTTCCCCTTAGACTCAGTTCTTTGGTGAAACTCTTTCCACATTGACTGCTCATGGCACTGTCTGTATTGTGCTCTGCGGATTTAATCTCAGAAGATTGTATTCTATTAATTTTTTTGTACCACCCACCTTTTCCCATTAGCCACTAACTTCAGGGGATGGTAGAGACCTTTTTCTGTATTTTTCACTATGGTAACATTTGCCAGTGCTCAAGGTTTGGCATGGGGAAGCCCCATGGAGAGTTTTAAATGAGTAGATGGGAGGTGAAGATGCTTGTGTTTTCAAGCAACTGAGGTGTGCTTCCTGGTGACTGGGATCTATTTTCTTACTGAGGACAAGGGGTTGGCTTCTCATCAGGGTGGAATTGTACAAAAGTTTTCAGTTCATTAGGTATTTTTGCTTTCTGTACCTTTCTGATATCTGAGAAGAATGAGAATTTGGCTTATTTCAGAGGAAGAGGAAGCAGTCACAAAAGTTTTGCCCTCTATTATTCCCCCAGAGGGGGCTGGTGGGAGATGAGTGACCAAGTGTGCCCCTGAGGCGGTTCTGGAAGCTTGACTCAGAGCACTTTTGTGGTCAAGGAACTGAAATAGAACAAGTGTGGCCTGAGGGCAGAGAGGTCACTGGTACAGCTGAGCAGGACATCGTGAGCCAACCTGTGGGATTAGTCAAGAAACCAAACTTGAAGCCAAGTAGAGTTAAGATGGTTTCACGTAGCACAGTCAAAAACTAGAGATTGTTTCTACTGCCTCTTGGGGAGGGCACTTTATAGAAACTGATCTGGGCAGACCACAATTTCTAGAATGATTACACTCCCCCTTATTTTAAATCTCTTTTCTTTCCCATGTGCCTATGGTTTGTACACTGAATTCCTATCACTTTCTAATCCTGTGTGGGACTTTATAGGAGACTTTAGATTCTGTGGCTGCACCATCAGAGCCATCAATTACCAGAATAATGGGGCAGACGTTCTTTTAAGAGAGATCTTCTGTCTCTCTATAAGACAGAAACCTTCCCAGATCTGTGGATGATATATTTTTGTTCCTTTTGACACTGTAAACAAAAATGTTCAAATATATTTTGGACTATTCAGAAAAGAAGTCATCAGAAGTTTAAAAGAACCAAGCTTCAGAAGCATGTTGAGCTGTGCTCTTGGCTCTCATGAATCAAGAGCTTCAGATAGAGGAACTTAAACACTGAAGTTGTAGCTGGTTGCAGTGGCTCATGCCAGCTGTTCAGAAGGCAGAGGCCAGGAATATCATGGTTCGAGGCCAGCTCAGGCAAAAAGTTAGGCAGACTCCATTTCAACCAACAGGTGTGGTACCGTGCACCTGTGATCCCAGCTACTTGGGAGACTGAAGCTAAGAGAATCACAGTCTGCAGTCAGCTGGGGGCAAAAATTCGAGACCCTTTCTGAAAAATAACTAGAAAGCAAAATGAGACTGGGGTGTGGTTCAAATGGTGCAGTGTTTGCTTAACAAGCACAAGGCTCTGAAGTACCCATACCCTTCCCCCAGGCTGTGATTTTTATAAAATAGAGAAAGCCTGCAGAACTGGGGGGGGGGCGGGCGCAGAGCCTGAATACAGCACAGGACCTCCCCTCCCCCTCCATGGCACGTTCTTACCCCTCCTTCACTGAATCTGAGTCTCCATGTCCAGGACAGAATGAGAATCTGGAAGGTCATTGTAAATTCCCAGTGGGAGGCAGCGCAGTGAGCTGGGAAAGAATAACACTTTCCACCAGAAGTGGGTGCGGGGGAGGCAAGTCCGGCCTCCACAGGGCTTAGGGAAACCTGAGGACTTCCTTGACAACTCACTGTGATCCTGCATGTAGGTGGTGCTCAATAAATGTGGGAGATGACCCTTACCAGGGACTGGATCATGTTGCCTAAATTCATACACCAAAGCCCTGACCCCCAATGTGCTGGTGTTTGGAGAGGCAGCCTCCGGGAGGTGAGTGGGCTTAGATGATGTCACAACCATGATGTCCTGGTGTGAGGATTAGTGTCCTTGTAAGAAGGGGAGAGACACAGAACTCTGTCTCTCTACCCCATGAAGAAACCATCTGCAAGCCGGGAAGATGGCCCTTTGATCGGAGCCTGCTGGTCTTGACCTCAGACTTCAGCCTCCAGAACTGTAAGAGAGGCAGTCTCCATGCTGAAGCCCCCTGCGGCTGTGGCATCTTGTGGTGGCAGCATTGCTGGCTGAGACCATCCCTAAGGTCTTCCATCTGGAATTCATCTATTCTGAGACCTGTGGTCATTTGCACAAGTCTTGGCCCCTTCTCCTCGTCCAGTTTGATTGGAGCCATTATGTTCAAAGACTGGGAAGGCTTTTCTGTTATACAGGTGGACAGCACTGAGAGAGAGAGAGAAAGAGAGAGAGAGAGAGATTGAGATCATCTGACTCTGGGCCCATGGGCTTTTAAGGCCCTGGGAAGGACTGTGGACTCCCAACCACTCAAGGGCTCTTTGAGGCCGTGTAGAGTTGCCCTGTCTGGTGTTCACCCTTATCCCTAACTTTCTCTCTGCACACAGCACTGTTTCTGGAATCCACCAGGCCCCTCTGGTTTCCCCACCTCTGCCTGTTGACATCCTTAAAGCAGCTTCCCCTGAACGTCACGGGGTGGGGCCTCTGGTCACCCCCACCTCATGAAAGAAAACCTAGAGCTGGGCAGTAGTGAAAGAGGTAAAAGTAAATTTGATTCAGGATTGTTGCAATGGGGAGAAAGGGACCTCGGAATAGAACCGACTGCATTCTGAATGCAGCAGACACGTGGGTGTTTACAGCCCAGGAGCAGTGGGGGGACTGGTGGTGAAAATTCCCCCGAGAACACACAGTGGGGGCGAGGGGAATTCTGCTGGAGGTAGGCAGGGGAGGAGGAATGTGATCAGATACCCAGGGTGGGGGATGCTGGCTACACCGACCCAGAGCAGGATTCTTGCCACAGGTGGGCCCTGCAGAGAGGTGAGGAAGACCAAAGGTGGAGGCCTCACTGGGACGACTCAGCACCATCGCCTTGGGAGCATATGTTCTGTAGCAAGAGCCTCACACTCTTGGCTTTATCTCTGAGCCTGGCCTGCACGTCCTCTGCCTCCAAGCAGGCTTTCTGAGTGGGGAGGCCTTGGGTGAGGCCAGCTTTGTCCCTCACTGATGGCTGTGGGCCATGTTGAAGGGACTAATGACAGGGAGTGTCCCTTCTTGGTCAGCTTGACAAGCAGGCCACAAGGCGCCCTGAGTCCACACATGTGGGTCAGCCTCTCACAGAGTCCTGGAGGCCATAGCGGCCTGGGGAGCTGGAAGGTGAGTGATGAATGAGGCCTTGTCCACAGTTCTTTGCTGAGCTGCCTGAGGCCACATGAGGGGCAGAGAAATGAGCCCTCCATCCCTGGGTGGGGACACTTGGAGCTCCCTTCCCATCTAGGGCACAACCGCCCTCTGAGCACTTCTGTGTGCAGATGCTGGCGTGTGGCTCACGATGACCACAGGGTCCAGCAGAGCCTGGGACACCTTCTGTCTGGACACTGAGCTGCAGGCTGGCAGAGCAGGCAGCAGAACATACATGAGGATGTGTTGACTGCTTACTTTGCTAAGCAGAAAACATTTAAAAATTGTCATCCACTCTCATCATACTTTTGTAAAATTAAAAAATGTACTCACCAAAAATAAAAAAAAAGTTCCACTGCACTTCATCCCGTCCCAAGACCCAGGCCCTCACTTGAACTCCACCAAGCCAGCAGGTGAGGTCAGATGAAAACAAACAAAACCAAACCCCTAAACCAAGAAAACCTCCTTAAAGTGGCTGGAAATGAGGTGGCATCTCACTTAACGCCTCCTGTGTCCACAGTGATGTCTCCCCACCCTGGTCAGTGCCATCATTTGTTTTGAAATGTGACTGTCGCTTAGCTCAGAGGCCCCTCTGGCCAGCCTGTCCACCCCATTCTCATTCCACCATTGGCGGTGGGAGGTTTGAGCACCCATCTGGCCCCTTGCACTGGAAACAAGTTACATGTTCAGTTTTCATGAAGTGTTACCTGACGCGCAGCACATCCATTCATGCTGAACCCAGTCATTACTGTCCTGGAGCTGCCCAAACAAGGGCCCTACAGGAATTTATTCTGCCACAGCTCTGGGGGCCAGAAGACAGGAATAAAGGTGGCTCCTCCCGAGTCCTCTCCTGCCTTCCCGTCTTCGGTGGTCCTTAGCTTGCCGACCCATTGCCCTGTCTCTGCCTTCATCTTGGCACTTTCTCTCCAGGTGTCAGAGTCTGTGTCCAAATTTCCCCTTTTATAAGGACACCGGTCATACTGGGCGAGGGACTGTCTCTGACTTCACTGACACTTCATGAAGACCATTTTTGATGAAGACCACATTCTGAGGTACTGGGGTTAGACTTCATTACAGGAGTTTTTTTGGTGGGGAGCGGGGGAGTGCCACAGTTCCACAAGCACTGACTTACAGTAGTAGAGCCTGTGACATATTGTGCTGCCTGTGGACATCCCTGAACACAGGTGAAGCTCCTCCTGCTTTTGAAGTGAAGGTCATTTCCAGACCCTGAGTTGGACATCCAACAATGAAGATGTGTGGGTTTTACTCCCGTGCACTTCTAAAAATACTGTGATCAATTTATTTCAATACAGTTGATTTTCTCTGTAATCCTGGTATCTTGTTCTATGCATGTAAAAACGTGACTCAGACGAAGAGGTCACAGGTGTCCCCAGAGCGCAGGGGCAGAATGGCAAGTACCATGCTGGGCCTGGGCTGGGATGTGACCAGTGTCTTCTGATTCTGAATCCCTCATTCTTTACAGCCTAGCAGCCTGCTGCTAGGCAAAAGGGGACTTTGATCTGCTCTGTCACCTCATCAGCCCACTTAGAATGGAAATAGGAAAAGATTTTAACAGCTAACTGACTGATTTGACAATTAATGAAGTATTGTAGGAGTTGTCACAGTAAACCTCACAGTGTGGCAAGGGTCCTGTCTTGTGTCTCTGGCCACGTGATGCATGAAAGCAGTTGGCAGTGGTTTGATATGGACAGAAAGAACAAACTTTAGATTTTATTCCTGGGCCTGTTCTGTGACGAAATGCACTATGAAAAATGTCAGATTTGGGGTCAAATAAATTTGGGTAATTCTATTATTGTCCCCAAAAGATGTCACCTTTTCAGGAATTTATTTTTAATTAAAGTGATTAAAAATATTAACATGATGATCACACATAGAAAAGTGCACAAATCTTCACTGCGTGACACAATCATTTTTACACATTTCTACATCCATGTAACCACCACTCGGACCAAGAATAGAAAGTATTCAGCTGTCCAGAAAGTTCCTTGTGCCCCCTCCCAGTCAATAATCCCCTACCAAAGACAACCACTGCTCTGACTTCTTCATCATCGGTAAGCTTTGCCTGACTCTACTTCATATGAATGAAATCGCTGTGTGTTCTCCTTCACGCCTTGCTCTTTTTACTCGACACGTCTGTCGGGTGGTACACAGTGTATCAATCATTTGTATTTTTTATGGCTGTGTATCATTTCATGTATCCATCCTGCTGTCGATGGAAATTTCTTGGCAACAGTTAACTTGTTTATCAAGTGACAGCCTCTCAGCTCCAAAGTCACCCTTTTTTGAGGACTCTGTGAAAATGGATCTGAGCCCTTCAAATATTTTTCCCTCTGCAATGCAGCCCTTGACACTTGTCAGTGGAAGATGCTGGGGAGGGCTGCAGAGAGACGTTTTCCTTCCTGGTTCAGAGGCACTGGCTTGCGGGCACAGCCCCAGGTCAGCAGCACCCACAGATGGCAGCTTTCTCGTCTCTGCCATTTGGTGGCATGACCCTGCCCTTCCAGCAAGGTCCAGCTCTCAAAGTAGGACCCATGGGCTTTTCTTTGGTGTGCGATGTCAGCCCTGGATTCTTTGCATTAAACTTGCTTTTAAATTACTGTGTGTGTTCTCTCTCCTGTTTGGACCCTGATGGCAGAACCGCCTTCAGCAGTCATGAGCCACACTGCTGTAGCTGACTTGGACCATGTGTCTTGGTGGCCAGAAGCCACCAAGCCATTTCTGGTGGGTGTATGTGCAGGAGTGGTTTTCTGGGTCTGGTTGAAGTGGATGCCCCCAAAGGAGGTAAGTGTTCTTCAAAGTGTTTGTCTTAGTTTTTGTGCCTGCCAGCAAGGTGACAAAGATCCAATTCTTTACTTCCTTGCAGCCTTTGGTACCATTTCATGGTTTCATTTAGTCATGGATTTGGGTGGAGTGGTGTTTCATTTGCATTCCCACAATGAGTAATGATGCTAACCTTTCTTGGGCATTTAGCTTTCTGTATCTCTTCTCTGTGTGAAGTCTCTGTTCACAATTCATGTTTTAAAATTGTGGTGTTTTCCTTCTTGCCTTGATGATCTGTAGACATTCTAGACACATTTTGGACAGCAATCCTTTACTGAATGCGTGTTTGGTGAATGTGTTCTAGTCTGTGTCTTCCCATTGTGCTTTCTGCATGGGAGCTTCTGAAGTTCCAGTTATCGACCTTTCCCTTTATGTGTGTGTGGTTATTTTTTGTGGTACTGGAATTTGAACTCAAGACTTTGCACTTGTGAGTCAGAGGCTCTATCACTGAGCCATGCCTCCAGCCTAGGGTGTGCTTCTTGTGTCCCATTTAAAAATAATAATCCTAGTCTAAGATCAGAGAACTTTCTTCCAGAAAGGTATGTTCACCTTCCACCTTTCCATAAGCAATATGTCTGGCTTTGATTTTTGCACACGGAGTGAAGAAGCAGTCAGGCTCTTCTTTTCCTCCAAATGGATATCGCACCGACCCATCAGTCTGTTAAATCACTCCGCCTGTCACCTCGTTGTGAGGCATTTGTCATTTGTGAGAACCAATCTCTTAGTGGGCCCGTTTCTGGGCTCTCACTTCTGCTCCATTGATCTATTTGTCCTTGTGCCGGTTCTCTTAGATAATTAAAATGCCCATTTACCTCCGGTAGTAAAGGAGGCGCTGAACTCTGTTATAGATGGGCAGGTAGTCTCTGCTTTCTTGTCACATATCTGTTGCCCACGTCACCAGCCAGGTTAGAAGAATCATCTTGGTGCAATCTGAGTTGCAAGACATGCTGGCTCTGGCCTCCAGACCTCTGCTCACTTTTTTTTCTGGTATATATTCTTTTTTTTTTTATAATTTTTTATTAGGACATATTCATTATACGGGGGAATTCATAGTAAAAATTCGGACTAGGCTTATATTATACATGAGTTACCTTGCTCCCATCGTCTCAACCCTCAGCCCCCTCCCTGTCCCACTTAAAGCAATTGCAAGATGTTTCTTTGTTTTGATCTTCATACAGGTGTATGAAGTCCATCAACTATATACTCTCATGGTAATCTTCTTCCTTCCCCTTCCCCTGCTGCCAGTACCTCCTCCCCTCACACACTGCACCGATTTTACAGTCCTGTCATCATTAATATTTAAGTTGAGGGATTTCTCTGTGGTGTACTGTGGGTATACTTTATTTTGGTCCATTCAACCCTTTCTGTTACTCTCCCTTACCAGCCCTTTACCTCTGGTCCTCCATTTTTCGACAGCTTTCAGTACACATCCTTGTATCCGCTACCATCACAGATGTTGTGTTTTACGATATTACTGATGCTCTCTTCTTCTCTTTTCCTTTTCCTCCTTCCCTGAGTTGGGACATATTCTTGAGGCTCTTGTGCCTGCTGCCCTGCTCAGGTGGCTTCCTACTCTTCAAGACATGGCTCCTCTTCCTCATGCCTTCAGAAGAAACCTTTTGCCACCTCACCAACACAAGATGCCCTTGAAGCATTATTGACTGGCTTCTCAGGAGAGCCAGGACTCCCTGCATGCACTAGTCAGGGTCCTCCAGAGAAATGGGGAATTGGCTCCTGCAATTATGGAGGCTGAGACATCCTAAGGTGTGCAGTCAGCAAGCTGGACACCCAGGACGGCTCCTGTGGTAGTTCCAGTCTGGGTCTAAGAGCTGGAGGGCTAGGAATGCTGATGGTGTAAGTTCTGGTCCAAATGACAGCAACTCACAACCCAAGGAGAGCGAATGCTTCACTCCAAGTCTGAAGGTAGGAAAAGACTGATGTCCCAGCTCAAGCAGTGGAGGAGGAGGAAGTTCCTTTTTTTCCTGGGAGATCAGTCCTTTTGTCCTATCCAGGCCCTCAGCTCAGTGGATGAGGCCCACGTCAGTTGAGATGGTCATACACTCCACTCAGTCTACCAGCTCAAATGCTATTCTCATCCCCAAACACCCTTACAGAAGTAATGTTTGGCCAAACATCTGGGCATCCCATGGCTCAGTCAAGTTGACGCAGAAGGTTAACCATCTCACTGCAATTGCTGTGCAGCCTATGCTGCCTCTAATGGTAATTCTCAGCCCTCGTGTAGTGGGCAAGGAGTTACCAGCCCTGCACAGGTTGGGACAGTGACTGAGGATGTCACTCCACACTGCTGCTCCGATTGCTTAGAAGGGCATTAGGGATGCTCTGCTTGAGCCCATGGGAGATCCATGTTTCATGGTGTCTGGAGCTTATACCATCTGGGTGGAGGGAAATCCTCTTTAAGAAAAAGGGAACAGTGGAGCTGAGTGGCCCTGAGGCTTGGCTTCCTTGGTCTCATAGAGAATGCACCTCATAAAACGTCTTTTTTCTGAGAAGGCCAAGGTCAAGTCTCCAAAGACTGTGTCCACTGGCATTGGGATGGGGTTGGTTGTGGGGAGCTTGTCTCTTCTCTGGCTTTAGGCCACATGTGACCCCAGAATCCACTCCCTGACTTTGTGTCTTATGGAGAGGTATCTCATCTCATCTGTTCCCCTCAGGCTCCTCTCTGCTGCCCGATCTTTTCAATCCCTACAACTTAAAGATGAGGATGGGTATGGTGGCCTAGGGTCACTTGTTTGTGCTGCTGTGCCCACATCTGGGCGGCTCTGAGCAAGTGGTGTCCACTGGTGGTTTCCAAAGCGAGTTGAGTCACTAGGGACACTTGTTAAGTGCAGGTTCCTGGACTCCAGACTGGGATTCTGTATCAGAATCTTGGCAGAACCTGGGTTTTTAACAAGCCTCCTGGGTGATTCTGTTCCTTCCTTGAGTTTGAGAAACTTGGGCGTGTTTGGGCGGTAGGCCTCTGCAGTGCTGTCCATTTTATATTCTAAGTGATGTTCTGTTCTCCAGGCCTGTGTGGTCATGAGAGTCTCCTAAGCCGGTGACAGTGACTCTGTCACTGCAAGTGTTCTGAGGGTAGACCCTAGCCTCCAGGGCTGCACACCATACCCCCTGAGGTTCCTGGGCCTGGAATTCTTACCTCCCTGGTTCCTCTTTGTTACGTCACACTTGACCTTACATCCATCACATGACCACTCCAACCGGCTCTCTTACCCTGGACCTTTCTTGGCCTCGTGTTGGACTTGGCCATTGACTCTTCACACTGGATTTCTTTCCCTTTAGATCCTAGAGATAAATCCCTCCTTCTCCCCACCCAACTTGAATGTAACTTCCTAAACTGTCCCTTTTGGTTTGCCAGTCCTTGGGGATGTGTGCTTCTGATTTATTTATTTTTTTAAATCTCTGTGGTCTGTAGCCCTAAGTCAGCCTTAAGGCGATGCCGCCTACCTGGCCCAGGGAGAGTCCAGAACCCTCTGTATGCCAGGGCTGTAGTTAGCATGGCAGGATGACTTCCAGGTTTCCTTCAGACAGCCCCTCTCTGCTCTGATGGCTCTAGCTTTGTATGTGCTGTTTGTTCCATTTTGATTCAAAATGTGCCCAGCTCACAGTCCTCTGGGGTATCAGGAGGGGTGTAAGACACACATATCTCTTGCCTTCCTGGCACTGCCTGCCAGAAGCAATCCATGCAGAGGAGCCTGTGGGGCAAGAGGCCAGGAGGGCAGAAGGCCAGGAGGCAGAGATGAGGGAGGGCCTGCTTTTGTTATAACACATGTGCAATACACGTCCACTTCAGTTCTGAGGCTTGGTATTTGGGTCTATGTTGCTCACAGGTTACAGAGCACAGCCTGGGATGCACAGGCTGCTGGGTGAACTGCTGGTCCATTTCTGACTAGCTGGCCAGGTCACTCAGCCCGCCCCATTGTGTCTGGAAGTGGGGCCACTTTGCACCCAGGTTCATGCTTGATGGCCATTTTGGAGCCTTTGCAGACACACACTGTTCTAGTCTCTGTCTACCTCCTGACTTGCTGGGTGTTTTGCCAAATTCACCTTCAGAGGAAGGTGGTACCTTGGTCCCTTGATCCAGGCTAAGACTTAACCAAGGATGCTTTGTACCTGGGATTCCCAGAATAACTTTGGGTGTTGTTTCTTGGCAACTCCACATCTGGCAGGGAAAATGCTCCAACTGGCCATGGAAACGGGCGACCCCAGGGAGTGCTGGCATTTGTGTGTGACACCTGCTCTGCCTCTATGATGCCAGTGTGCATCTGTGGAGAAGGCGCCAGCACGGGTGAGGGGAGCAGCCACCCTTGGGAACTGAGATCTGTGTGAAGTGTCTGAGAGAAGGTGCCTTGGGGAGAATGGAAAAGTGACGTTCACTAGTGGGGCAACCCAACTTGTCAAAAAAGACCAAAATGATCCAAGAAGGGAAGCAAAGTGGAAAACACCATCTTTCCGTGGTATTCGGTTTTTGCGTTTCTCTCTAAATGTATCATGGGCAGATTCAGTTTGGTTCTCCAACCCATGAGCTCCATGCCCAGGCCGTGCAGGCAAACACTTTTCAAGGAAAGACGAGAAGTATTCTTGCCTCTATTCTTTCACAGTGGGTCCCCTGAAGTCATAGTGGGCTCCAGCTGCCAGGAACTCCATGTTTTTTTTTTTAATGGTCAATACTGGGACTTGAACTCAGGGCCTTGTACTTGCTAGGCAGGCGCTCATCCCCTCGAACCACCTCCAGGATTTTTTTGCTTTAGCTATTCTTCTGAGTAGGGTCTCACATTTATGCACAGGACTGCGGTCATCCTATACACGCTTCCAACCTAGCTGGGCTGACAGGTGCATGACACATACCTAGCTTTTATTGGTTGAGAAGGGGTCTTGCAAACCCCTTAAGGACTGGCCTTAAACTACAGTCCTCCTGATCTCCACCTCCTGAGTCGTTGGGATTA